AACCGCTCGCGTTCCTCCACCTTCTGCGACGTCACCGCCCTCGCCAGATCGCCCAGCGACAGCTACTCCTGCGGCTTCAGCCCAGCCTCTGGGTCTGGCTAGCTATGCAGTGCGGATTGGTGGTGAAGGAGAGGTTTTTACGAGCGCACACGAAGCGCGACATCGTTTCCTTACGCTGCAAAGCGAAGGCAAGAGCCCGTCCATGGTTTCTTGTGCATCACTGGCCCGGTGTTTGAAGTGGATCCAGGACACGCCCCTCGACACCGGGCCAGCCACCACGCAGCTCCGCGGCTGGGCAGAAGAAGAAAATCGGGCACGGCGGGAGCGAGTGGAGGCGCAGCGCGAGCGGGAGGTGCATCGGATGGAGATTTTGGCCGCCTTGGACGTTGAGCGGCGGGAGATCTACTCGTCCGACAGCGACGGTGAATCATTGGTGTCGGATCTGTCCCGGAGCACCGCCGACTTGGAAGCCGAGCTCGGGCACCGTGCTGCCCGCTCGACATGGAGACGCGTGCCGTCGTAAGCTTTGTGGTACGCATTTGGCAGGATTCTTTGTCGAAGTTTTACTCACAATTGAATATTCACAGTGGTTTGTAAACTTGTTTTATACTTATTCATTACTCGTCGTTCGTTAGCTTGTTTGAATGTCAACTTGTCCAATCCCGGAAGGAACACGTGGTATTCGCTTCAGTTTTTTTTTTTTTGGGTGATCCCGGCTTTCGCAGCACTTCATGAGTCGCAGCAATGGCAAAAACCCAAAGCGCAAGCGGGAGGTCTTTGTCAATGACTCAGGACACGTCTCATCCTCGACAACGGCAACCAACCGCCGTATGCGGTCACAGTATAATCCTGCGCTGCCGCGATCCCCTGACAAGCGTGCCATCGACAATTTCGATGTGCTGATGGGGTATGAGGCTGACGACAATACTTTCTCGTTGCCGCCGGTGCGGGAGGGCCCGGCAGCGATTAAAATCAAGGTCAAGAAGGCAAAGCGGTATGAGAATTCGGTATGGTGTATCTAATTTTACAAGGAATAATAATTGGGCTAATATGCGTGATAGGATGCTCGGGTTAAAAGCTGGATTCCCCTGCGCGACGCTTACGCTGACGCCTTGATGAAGCGGCAGGGTCGCGGTCCGTGGTGGCAGAAAGGGTGCGCTGTGTGTGGGGAACAGAACCCGGAATGGCGTTGTGAAGATTGCTTTGCAAATCGCCTTCTCTGCGGGTCCTGTATCGTGGAGCGGCATCGGGACGAACCACTGCATTTTTTGCAGGTGAGTTTGTTGTTGTCGCAGATTTTTGGTTGGCAGCTGACAGACATAGCAATGGGAGGATGATTATTTCCAGTGCCGGACGCTTCGGGATCTGCACATTCGGTACCAAATAGGCCACCTTGGAGGGGAGCCCTGCCCTCTCGTCCACCTCGGCCCGAAAATCAAGGGCTTCACCGTCATACACGACAACGGCATTCACACTGTGGACATCGACTTTTGCAGTTGTGAAGGGGCACCATCCGACGTTGATCAACTGATTAATATTGGCTGGTTTCCTGCAACTTCAAAGGAGCCTTCAACTGCAGCAACTCTGAGCGTCCTCAGGCGGTTTCACTTACTCAATCTTCAAGCCCGTGTCCCAGCATACGATTTCTACAATGCGCTGGTGCTTTTGAGGAACGGCACGGGTTTATTGAAATCTCCGGTGAGTCGGGCATGGCTGAATGCGGAATCCAGGCTGATCGAGTTTGACAGAGTCGCTTACCACAATTCATGGACATCATGCGCGAGTATCGGCATGTGGTGATGTGCCAAAGGGCGGGTAGGGTGCATGATCCAACTGGTATTGCGGGCACGAAGGCAGGGGAGCTCTCCATCCCGTGCCGGTGTTGCCCACACCCATCTATCAATTTGCCTGAAGATTGGGAGAACACCCCCTGAGATAGCGTGCGTACATTACTGTTTCACTAGCGTTGCATTCTGAACATTTTCCAGATGGATTTACCGCCTGATGGTGTCAAAAGACGCCAATTTCAAAATGAAAGGGCGCGATCGTTCTTCGAGGGAAAAGGATCCGACCTTAGGCCCTGGGTGGGCATATATGGTAGCTAGTGATAAGTACCTGAAGTATCTCTCTGACTTCATTCACGAGGACGAGGTGTGATTTACTTCTCAGTATCATGCAGGCACTGACCGAGAGTCTAGATCAGTCATTGCGTATCATTTGCGGCGCTGTGGTCGGCAAACAACAAACGGTCAAAGGGATTACGGGCGTCGGGCGTAGGATCGGTCAGCTGCTCTCGGCATGAGCTGTTTCGGCCTTGCGGCACAGGGGATTTGCAGAAAGGCGAAAGGCCAGTCGCCCAATCAATGGATAATTGTTTGATTGTTCGGTTGACTGACTTCGAAGCTAGATACTCGAATATGGACTACTTGTTTTTCTCAAGCCTGATCGGCATGACGCTCAAAACAGTGGTGTCAAGCTATGACATCGCTTGCCAGTGGGGGCGCAATTTTGCCAAACGTGCGATGGAGATGCCCGAGCACATGAAACTTCCGGAAGGCGTCAAGGTCCTCTTCAAAGTTCCTAAATTTCACTTACCGCCTCACGTCAAGAAATGCCACGGGCCGTATTCTTTCAATTACACGAAGGGTGTTGGCAGGACGGATGGAGAAGGTGTCGAACGTAACTGGTCGTGGCCCCATTGGGCAGCGAGATTCGTGTCGGTAATGGGACCCGGTTCTCGGGAGGACACGATCGACGACTTATGTGGATTTTCAAACTGGAAGAAGACCGTCGACTTGGGTGAGTGCGGCGGCAGCGTCGGAGATGGGTGGGACTGAGTATCCCAACAGGAAACTCGTTGCTTCGTAAGATGGTCTTGGCAATACCCCAAGCGATGATCCACAGCCGCGCATTTCATGCTTTCACGGACGGCTTGCGCGAACATCACGAGTTGGAATTACAGGATTGGGAGAAGATAGTCAGGGCATGGGAGGAGGACAGCACGCTGGAAAACCCCTACGAGTATCCGGAAGTTGAAGGTGCGGCAGTTGTTTCGGCTGGTTTGGGTTCGCTTAATGTACATTTAGCCGAGACGATGGCAGATGTGATGCGGCGCATCGCGGAGGAGGACCACAAACGCGTCTCCGAACGGGGCGCAGCAGAGCTGCTGGTCAAGCCTGCCGCGTTTCTCATGGCGGGCATTGAGATAGAGGACAACCAGTGCGTATGTTTGACTATCCAGATGAATGCTTCTCATGAACAACAAACAGGGCCGCCGTCGCACTCGAGGCACAGAGGCGCAATCGCACAACCATTCAGGCGACCACGTTGCAGCGGCAGCGTACGCTGCTCCTCGGAAAGGTCTCCGCTCTCCACGACGTTCAGGGCACGTACATGCCCGGGTTGCGGCAGTGGGTCGCGGAGCAGAACCCTGCAATCCCCGTACCCGATAAGTCAAAGCCGGAGACGATTCCGATCTACCTTCCGTCCAAGCTCCCTGCGGCGGATCGGCAAGGCGTGTGTATCTCGGGGCTTGTTGAGCACGAGGATTCACTGCGTTGTGCGCAGGCCGGGGAGGCGTTGCGCGATCTCCGCAGCAGCTTACGCACACGGACGTTTGCCCATCAATTCAAGAGGAAACTAACAGAAAGTCAGAGCATGTACACGAAAAGCCGAACACTCACTGAGGGTATCGAGGACCGTGTTCGCGCGTCTTCGACCCGGTATCGCACGGCGCGCGCGGCTCTATTCTCACTGCGGGGGCCGGGCGAATGGGAGAAGACGCTCCAGGTGCTGAAGCAGGAGGACATCCGGGGGATGAATGAGCGTTTGATGAACGAGACAGAGAAGGCCGAGTTGCGCAAGGCGAGGCTGAGGGCAGGGCTACCGGCGGAGGCATCGAAAGACGAGTGCGTGGATGAGTACGGGGAGCCGGTGGCTCTCACCGTTCTCTTCAACCTGGAAACGGGTGAAGGAAGGCGTGAGCTTGCCTGGTTTTGGTATAGCTCAACGTCAGGATCGGGGACGGATACAGGGGTGGATGGTCGGCTGCATGAAGGTGTGTGTGCGGTTTCTTTTACATATAGTATACAGCTGACGTGAGGAACGGAGATATCCGCGTGGAATGGATGAGGGCACGGGCCCGCGCTGATCGCTGGCGTGAAGAGCTTGTCCTGCTCGAGGAAGAGATGCGCCGTGTGATCGAGTTTTGTGTATGGAAGGCCAGATGGTGGATGGAGCGGCAGGCGGCGCGACCTGCGGCCGATGCCGTGCTTGCAGAGGGCTTGCGCGCCTATGCACTGGAGCAGGCGGATCGGGAGATAGAGTGGAGCAGGCGCTGGGCAGAGAAATGGAGCGCTGTGCGGGCCCGGGCCGGCCTCGTCGTTCGCGATCATATTGTAAACGTCGAGGAGGAGGTGCTCGTACCTTTGGAGATCGAGTTGGATGAGGAGGACGAGGAGGAGTACGCACCCGACATGGGTTACGATGACGAGGAGGGTGATTTATTGTAGTTTTTTGCTTGTTCTAATTTTTTACCTTTTCGGGACAAAGGCGTTGAGTTGTGTGGTTCTGATTGAATGATAGGAGCGTCAGGGTTTGTGTTTATATCATTAGTATTAAATTATATTGAATTAATAGTGAGTATACAAGTATATAATAGTTAAATATTGGAATTGCGGTGACCTGATGGGTCACGGCGCTACCCGCGATGGGAAAACAGGTGCGACTGATGGTGCCGAGGTGCCGACCCACCGGGTGAGGGCTCTTTCCGCAAAAGGAAGGTACACATTGCAATGTGTCCCTGGGCAGGGCCGTCTCGGTACACATTGTAACGCGTACCTGTGGCGGGGCCAGGACACATTGCAATGGGCCTACTGCTACTGTTGTCGACTCCCGGCGTCTGCATTCTTCGGAATTCGCGATGTTTTTCTGTCGGTTTCGATTCCATTTCCTTATGGTGTGGTGGGATAACACAGTGCACATCCTACAAGATTATTAACTCGGACGTGGTGCGCGGTGCACACCTGTTCGCAATGATGTCCTACAATTCGGCGGATTTGGAGACAGGAAGCCCGGGTTCGACTCCCGGCGTCCGAATAAAATGTTGATGCGACGGGTTTTTTTATTCTTGTTGTGTGTATCGGGGAAGTTATACATGCACTCGGAGTTGATATCTCCGGATTAACGGACCCCGACTTGCGAAACTACATTCCCGTGAAGGAGCAATGCTGAGTCTGTGGTTGCCTGGTTCATTCCACGTTGAACAGGTGCCACTGGCAATGCTTTTGCTTCAATTTCAATTATTTGTTGGCCGAATAACACAGTGCACATTGTACAAAACAACTCGGACGTGGTGCGCGGTGCACACCTGCTTCATTTAAAAAGGCGATAAAAAATCCTCAAATCAAGCAGGAGGACCGGGTTCGACTCCCGGCGTCCAAATATGCAGTCGCAAATAGCCTCGCTTTTTTATTCTCATCTTGTCATCTGGGTGTTCACAGATCTGCGAGTCTCTACTTACTTCACGTTTAGAAACACCAGTTCCCCAGTTTATAAATTGCCAGTTACCCACTGGCAATTGATCCCTCAGGGAGTCCCTGCACGTTTGCAAATAATCATTACCAGGTCCCGCAATTCATCCCTCCGAACCCAACTCGGAGTGCAGGTTAATTTATTGAGGGATAGCCAGGTTCACATCGTATAAAAGCGGTGCATGCCTGTCGTAATTAAGGAGTATTATTCATAGTCTAGATGACAGGGGTTCGACTCCCGGTGTCTGAATTCGTCCAAATGCGTGACGTTTTTCTGTCGACTCCCGGCGTCCGAATCATCCAGGGCCACAACCGTATTTTTTTCCCTTTGCGCCTTTGATTGATTATGTCTCTTTGAACTGATTTACGCGCCCCGATCCATGAGCGCATTATTTGCAAGACTCACCTGATTATTTTCAATATTCGCTCCCGGAAGCTCGTGGGGTTGTGGTAGGCTGTCTGTCGCTTGGAGGACTCGGGCCAATTTATTGGTAGAATATTTAGGTGCACATCCGATAAAGTAAGTACTTCGGCCGTGGTGCACGGTGCACGCCTGTTCCAATTGTCCGGCGATCATAGTACACTTAGATGACAGGAATCCCGGGTTCGACTCCCGGCGTCCGAATTAAACACTCGCGAAGTTTTTGTCTATCCGTTCCTCATTGTAATTTCCTATGGCAACACGGACAGGACAGCTTCGGTTTTTGGAGCCGGCCGTGATCCCATCGTGATCGGTGAGTTTATTTGAATGCTGGGACCCCAGACACACATGTTTAGATATAGCCACGCCATAGTGCCGGTACGACATACGAGTTGAATGTAACCTAACGGCAACGGATGTGCGCCAAATACATATGCCATGTGCGATGGGACAAATATATTTGGCAGGATACCAGTGCTCATTGCGTACTGGGGCCGCCGGGCGCAAAGTTCTCTCGGGCGTTTCCGCAAAACTTTCTCACGGTTGCATATGTGGTTCTTGTGGATTGTTTTACACAAGAGCCCGGATGAGCACACCATTTATGATTTGGGCGCCATTAAAAAAAAAAACACCCTTTGGCAAAATTCCAACCACCCCGGCGTTGAGACTGATCGTAGAGGATCCTGTCACTACATCCTCTGCACAAGCATTGTTGGATGTATTATTTCACCCCGGACACCGGCGTGTACATGATGAACGCCTCTGGTGGGTTGCGCACATTTCCACGGGAATACTATCACATCAAGAGCACAAACTGGAAGCAAAATTCGCCACATGTATCCGTGGTGCCCCCATGGTGGAGCAACCTCACTATTACAGTATGTGGTGTTCCTGACCATGCCTCAGGATCCGTGCACGTCTGTGACTGCGAACAGAAAATCTCCGCCAAGGCTTGACTGATGAGAATTGAGCTTGTATGTTGCAGAGTATTGGCAGAGAAGGTTCCAAGTCGGACTGAACTCTTCTGTATGAGAGAAAAATCTGGTTTGGTCATGGAAAGGTTTCTCAGGAAAAATGATCCACATCGCTGCAATTTTTGTGAGGGTCTTGCAAGACTGAGGTAAGTAAATAGCCTATATCTGCGACCAGGCAACCAGTTAGTTATCCACAGCAATGAATAATAGATTTTAGCCCCTTTATTTCGGATGTGTATGCATCACATGGTTTAAAATTCCGCAAAGGATCAAATCGAACTTACCCGAGATGCCCGAGACAGGTGGTATATCCTGCTGTGGTATATCCTGCTGCAAAGTACTAGTGTTGATCCACAGGTGAAGTGGTGAGCCAACTTGGAGATCTGTTTTCAGTACTGGTGAATTCCATGAAGTAAGTGTCCCTTGCAATACCATTTCAGTTTCAATCTATGGAATTATTTAAATTCTGGCTCAGTACATGATTTCAGTTTGCAGGACGCGTCTGCGGCTGGCTCTACGTTATTATCCAGGACGAGGGTACTCTCCTATGCAATAGAGTGCATTAAATGGGGTTGAATGAAGTTGGGGCCAACAACACAACTATCAATTTTTTGGTTCACCTACCACGGTTCCATCGGGCATCGAGATTGAAAAAGTTTGAGGCGGGTGTCATTCATTTGAGCAAGGACTTATGAATGTGTATGCAGTGAAGGAAATAGCGAAAGAAGGTTTTCGGCAGGGCCATCATCTTTGAATCGATTACGAATCCACGATGGGTTTGACTCCGGGCCGCAACGTGGCCTCCCGTGGGCCTTTATATCCAGGATTTTTCCGCGGTGCAGTGGGGTATCATGGTTAGCAGCAGCGGTTGGTGAGACGGAAATTACAACATTGAATGGATGCCGCGAGGCTATAGCCCAGTATCACAGCTCTTTCCTGCTGCTTCCAGATACCACCTGTTCTGCTGCTGTTGCTAGTGTCTCCAGCGGTAACACATCATTTTGTTCCAGTGCCTTTCCGATTATCAAGACAAAATCCACGATGCCGATCACGAATAGCTGAGGTGGAGTTTGGTTCAAGAGAAAAAAAACTTCACCGGTGCTCAGAACTGTAAAGCTTCGAATGTATGCCAATTTCTGTTGACAGACCGGAATGAGGAGCACATCAACATAGCCGGAACGGCTTGAGCTCGCCAGCAATACTAGGCTTCTGAGCCGGGCTAATCATCAGTTTCCGAGACTCTTATTTTGTTTCTGGTGCCGTGATCCAACTTATTGCCTCTGTCAATCTCAGCATGAATGATGATGTTAAATTTGGCGTTGAAATCAACTCCCGAATCATTTCTTTTTGAGTCAAGATTCAAGTCAGATGTAGTCAGTAAATCAAGTCATAGCCCTAGTCATTCATATATGACTCACCGTAAAATTAGTATATAAGGAGGACCTCTTTCAGAAAAATCCCCCCAATTACCCCTGTGTAGTTACCCTTGAATATTAAGTTTTTCTTAACTTTATATCGTGTGATTCAAATAGCTAGTCTAATAAGGCTTCTATACCAATTAAGCAGACCAATAAAGTTCAAGCAGCACATTATTATTCTTACTGATCAGCCTCAACAGTTCAAAGACTCGTAGGTCTTTAATTGTTATACCGTACCGCACAGACAGACACTGAACCGACCGTATCACCGAGTTATCCCAATCCGTCACTCACCGCCAAATTCCTGGAAAGGGAATATTACGAGAGCCAAAGCACCATACTAGACTTATTACAATTCTTAGGAATTGGAAACTCTCTTTGGTGAACTAAAATTCCACCCAACATCGGTGATTCAATACACCTGGGAAAACTCACCTACTGGGTGGAAGAATATCCATATCTTGTTTCAAGTTGAACGATTGACAATTGAGCTTCGAGAAACCATTTCCTCGGCTCAGGGGAATCTTATTTTCCCCTGACATATTAATGCCCTGGCCCTGGCCTGGCCCGAGAGACTCCTCAATAATGGGGTAAAATTGGGGAGGCAGGAAACAAACACATCAACTCGCAGAGGAACACCGGATCGGGGTATTCCTGAAATGCCCTGAGTTTAATCTTCCGCTAGGATTATTGGTGTTAGGTCGCAACAAAGAAGAGATGTCTAGCACACACCATCATGCTCGGATTCAAAGTGGCAAAGCCTGACTCAGTAGTTACGAGTCTAAAAAAAATATTTTTTATACTCGTTCTTACATCAATTTTACAGCCAGACCTCGAGATTTTTCGATGACATCGTTGAATCGTGCTGGAAACATTACTGCTTATGGTAACTTCCGTGTGAATAAAGTCCTTTTTAAGGAAGTTTATTCATATCTGACTACATTTCCCTGCCTGTTTTTGCTTGGCATCAACACTGTAAATTACTCATATCAGCGTACATTTTTAATTTTCATCTTTCATGGGTGATGACTCATGATCAGCCAAGACTCAGCATTAAAGCTGGACAGTTAAATTGCTTGCTCTTCTCGCACTATCTCATCTTTCTCCACCTGCATTTTTTCCCGTGTTCTCTCATGGTCGCATTTGGCCCGCGCAGCGCCCCGGCCCAATGTGAGCTGGTCGATGCGCGCGCCAGCGTGCAGCAACCGAGCGAATCTTTGGGCTGGATTTAAAAAATCAAAATCAAAATTCATGAATCGCTGCAAAGCATTGAATGAAAAAAAGTCCTTAAACCCGCTTCCCACACTGACTTCATTTTGGCTGCATTCTGGTGGTGATAAAACTGTAATAATCCACCCGACTCCTCCTGCCATGCGCAGCATTGGCCTAAAGCCCAAGTTCAGAAAGAGGACAAGTCAGTGGGACTGCGGAAGAAATTTCTGGTCACCTGATGGGAGTTGTTGCATTTGAAGCTTGGTAAAACTGCGCAAATCATGGTTGTGAAGGGTGATAGACCAGCAGCCCAACGATCCATCAAAAGCTATTTGAAGGATTGTCAAATTTCTGTCGCAGCCGTGACTCAATCCGGAATAAATTAGCCACCAATGGAGAAGATGAAAGAAAAGGAAGTACCCTCGCCAAAATACTAGCCAAGCAGATCAAAGTTGAATCACACCGATACAATATGACCACCATGGTGAATAAACTTGTTTCTGTGCCAGTCATTAGGTGAGCGGAAACAGGCTCCTGACCAATCTTATCGTTCCAACGCCTATCTTGGAGACACCATACAAAGTGCCCATGGATAAGATAGCATTGAAGGAAGATTAGATATCGGACACATGGAAAACACATGGTAGACATGACGAGGACATGACATAGTATACATGTTGCAAAGGGATGGTTTAACACACCTAGTACACACGGAATTCATATAGTATAGACATTCTCACGGTTTGTAGAACAGTATAAGTAGAGTAGTATATTTGCCTGTATTCTTTCGTCTTTTATTCGATTCATTTCTCGAAGCACTCTACATCTCACTCCCCAATCCACTATCTCTGCATAGTTGGACGAGATTGTGTCTTTGATTGTGACACATTTGCAGCACCCCTGCAAAATTTCTTCTCGTTTACAGTCAATCTCAACATCTTGATTGTTGGATGTGTCGGAAAAATCCCAAATCGGTTTCAACGGATTGGCTCGGCTTAGTGGCTAAGATGGGATTGAGACCGGTTCGAACCCACTGGCACAGTGGCTTATAACCAGTATCAAGGTGTTTGAAGGGTCTCAAGTTCTTTATTGGCTTGAGACAGGTTCGCAGTTTGCCTCAGGCTGGGCTGTCAATAGATTCATTTTATAAGTCAGTTTACGTGAAACGAAAATGGCATTCGTAGGCAGCACTAGTACTTGAGAATACATTATGCTTTCCAATCTAATCGTCCTACTAAACCGTTGTCAAGGAGCAGGGAGAAAACGAAGGAAAACCCCGCTTATAAGTCAGTTTGATAATTGATTAATTGATGTCATTTACACGCAAAAACATGTCCCCGTCGACACAGTCAATCACGTAAAATACCTCCTGTGATGCACCGAAGATGGGACACATCAGCACACCGCGCGTAACATGTTCAAGCGAAATAAATAAACACGGTGTCTCTTAACTAGAACACATGTTTCTTCTCGTTATCTTGCTGTACAAGTTGGTTATCCGGCGCGCTGGTCTACAATTCGAAACAGTTCCCCACACGTCGCCGAAATAGCCCCTGTTAGTCTTAGCCCTCAGTTGTCCGGGAGCAATCATCTGTGGACGCTGCCGTAAGAAACAAGTGCGGAGCAGTACAGTGGCGACGAAAAGTTGTGCATGCGACGGTTTGAGGTCATTTCTGGCCCGAATCACTCCAAATAAAATGTAGGCATATTTGTTGAACAGTTTTAAGACCTCTGACACGTTTAAATTGATACCCTACCGGTTTTGCTGTTTCATAATTAAAATAATGGTGGTTTTCCGAAAAATCGACTTTGTCAATTGGCCGTACAGTGGGAAATGGTGTAGATAGCCTGAAAGTACTCTCAAAGTAGACCCAAATAATACTTTGGTTGGTTTGAATCGATGCATGTTTGGGTTTGTAATGCCTTCCACAAGTTGGCCATTTTCTGTACTTTTGGCCCTGTTACTGTAGTATTTCGACCAAGTATTCAGGGCATGTCACGAGTCACCGCAAGTATTCATTTTCTCAAGTCTTCATTTCTCGGCTATCACCAGAAAGCTCCCATATATGGACATCCGGTGGATGCTGGAGCGGAAATTTTGGTGTTTTTTGGCCTATTTGGGCCTCAAAATTGATTGTCACCGTCACCAAGTCCGAAAGTCTTCAATTCAGAGGGCCGCGTCACGTGTCACCTGAAGACTTGGTCGAAATACTACAGTATGCTCAAAACTGCCAAAAATGGCCAACTTGCATGGACTCGTGTGAGCTCAATTCCGCAGAAACTGAGATGAAATAACATACAAATATGATTGTATTTGCGAGTACTTTCACACTATAGTCACCATCTTCTTGCACATGGTCCATTGACAAAGTCTGTTTTTCGCAAAATCACCATTATTCTTATTATGAACCTGAACCAACGAAACCGATAAGGTATGAATTAAAATGCTCACAAATTCCTGAAATTGTTCAACGGTCATGCCTACATTTTATTTGGAGTGATTTGGGCCAGAAATGACCTCAAACGGTCGCGTGCACAACTTTTCATCACCACTGTATCTTGCAACCGCTGCTGCTCAAATAGAAGAAAAACCAAGCACACCGTGTCACCTTTTGGTTGGCAAATTCAACCACTTAAGGCCGTAGTGATGTGCTGGCTTTGGCTTCAAGCCAGAAACCAGGCCAAGCCAAGCCATGGTTTGAGAAACCAAGCCAAGCCAGCTGTCTGGTTTCGGCTGGCTTTGGCTTCTGGCTTCACATTTCCGAAGCCAAGCCAGGCCAGGAAGCCATGGCTTGAACCTGTCTCAGTGGGGTGTCCAATTTGGCAGTGAAAAACTCGGTGTAGCAACCAATTTCGGAATCTAAACGTGGTCAATGGACAGAGGTACTAATATATTGCAAAATTCACATATTCTAGTGTCATTCTCCGTGGTTCTGGTCAGGCCCGACCAAATTGGGACAACCCATTTTGGATGAAGACGGTTAGAATCTTGAACAAGGGCACAAAATCTTCAACATTTTGCTAGTTTGAGATGCTAGAGTACTGTAACATAAGTTGCAGCCACTTTTAGATATTTAAAGAAGTGTAAAATGGATCCGCATTTCCGAACTCAAGCCATGGCTCAAGCCAGAGCCAGACCAAGCCAGGCCAGGTTTGCTGGCTCTGGCTCTGGCTTGGGTTTTCAGAAGCCAGAGCCAGACAAAGCCAAGCCAGAGCCATGGTTTCCTGGCCAAGCCAAGCCAGAACAACACTACCTTGAAGTTAAGGGATTGGCTGTTATATTTTTAGCACTAAGTATTGCCAGCGGTCGGACCAAGATCTGCCCGTAAGCTGAGACGAGTCATGTATGAACACTTGTGTACACTGAGCAGGTACCACATGGATGTGTCTGGGGTCCCAACATTCAAATAAACTCGCGGATCGCGATGGGATCACGGCCGGCTCCAAAAACCGAAGCTGTCCTGTCCGTGTTGCCATAATTTCCACCCAATATAGTTCATCCCATCTCACGAACATGGGTGATGTCCAAACATCCACTAAAGACGGGATCCGGGGGTAGTTCACAGCGCGAGAGGCATTATCTGTCCCGGGCAAAAAGTGAATCTGTTCGTGTGATTGATATTACACTTGAATGTTGTGGTTGGGGCGCCTCCGGATGCCTGCAATAGCTTTCCTTCAGTTGATTTATTGGTAGGATAACCAGGTGCACTGGATCCTAACAAAGAACTCGGACGTGGTGCACGATGCACACCAGTTACAATTGGACATCTGCCACGTTGAACTTTAAGACAGGAACACCGGGTTCGACTCCCGGCATTCGAATAATCTGGCTTGAAATTCTTTTTTTTGTCTCAAATAAGTTAACTCCCACACAACCGCCGGCTGAAGCATACAGCAATGACTCCTGGATATCTGCAGTTCAACTCTAAAACTACCGTTCAATTTATCGGTGATAACACAGTGCACGTCATACAAAATACCTCGGACGTGGTGCACGGTGCACACCTGTTACAACTATGCTCTCTTCACTGAATCTCAACACAGGAAGCCCGGGTTCGACTCCCGGCGTCTGAATTCGTCCAAGTTCGCTATGTTTTTCTGTCGGTTTCGATTCCATTTCCTTATTGTGTGGTGGGATAACACAATGCACACGGAACAAAATAATTCGAATGTTGTGCATCAGCAAAATGTTTTCGGTGTGGCGGGTGTGTGGCAGGTATGGCGCTATACCAGCCACACATCCCACTCACCCACAATTATTTGTGGCACCACAATGACATGCACTGTGCCACTATTTAAATTTGTGGTACCACCAATGATCACAACACCTTTTGTGGCACTACATATCCATTGATGACCACAGTGGTATCCACCTTCAGCTCGACTATTTGCTGCCGCTCGCACGTAATGGAAAGAACAGGATGATTTGGAGCATCAAACAAAATACACGCGGTGTAGTAGTACGATGTAGATAAGATAATGCATGTACGGATACCCCGGGAGCATCACTCGTTGGCATCCGACCCGACATCCTAGCGAATATATGTATAAGCATCAACCCAAACGACAGACGCGAAACGGCATACCTGTGCTTCGGAAGGGGTCTACAACATCATCGCCGTGTGAAGTTATACCGATAAACGGAGAGCGAATTCACTGCAAAGCACAAGGTCAGAATGATGTGTCATAGATACAAAAAAGAGATGCGAGCGGACGAGACCAGAATTTTTTGTGACACTTGCAGTACTGTTGATCCTATCTATAAAGGGGTGTCAGCAAGTCATAGTGTCCGACGATAGGAAAGGTACGCAACAAACTTGAATCTGCACGGTGTAAACGACGAGTGGAAAGATAACAGTGTATTCTTAGGAAGATTGCAGTTGCGGGGGCCGAGGACTTGGAGTTGAACGCCAGACAGAAACAGAGAGGATAGAGACGGATAGAGACCCAGCAAGAGACCAAGTACTTGAAGCGGCTCCAGATACAGCTTTAGAGACAGGTAGCAGCCTACAGAACCAATCCAGAAGATATGTGGCAGTTTTATGGGTCCGGGGCACTTTGAGAAGTCAGAAAGAGAGGGAGATGGGAGGGAGATGGAGGGGAAAAGCAAGAGACGTGGCAGCTTTTGCCCATCAAATCACGCCATTTCGATGCACGTGTCGTCGGAGTTTGAACGACTTGTGTGAATTCTCGATGTCGGGACTCCGGCTACTTGCCGGCTATTCTGGCACCGGTCAGACCGGGCAAGATTGAAAAAATTTGCTGACGGCAAAAAAGGCACTTTCCTGAGGATCGAACTCGCGCGGCGATGCAGAAGGTTGATGAACAAGAGACCATACCAACCACTAGACTATGGAACTTTGTGGCAAAATGAATAAACTGATGAGGTCTGGCGGTATGGGTTGGTGTGGCGAAGTGGCACACAGCCACCTTCCACACCAGCCATACTCAGCCATACAGCCATCCCGGCCACAGCAAAAACATTTTGCTGATGTGCACGGTGCACACCTGTCGTAATTAAGGTGTATTGCTCATACTCTAGATGACAGGAAGCCCAGGTCCGACTCCCGGCGTCCGAATAAAATATTAATGCGACGGGTTTTTTATTCTTGTTTTGTGCATCGGGGAAGTTATACATGCACTCGGAGCTGATATCTCCGGATTAACAGACCCCGACTTGCGAACTACATTCCCGTGAAGGAGCAATGCTGAGTCTGTGGTTCACTTCCCGTGAGCCATGTGCCCGCAATCTCCAGTTTATTCGATGGCTTGGATCACCATGGTACCAGGTGCACAACATGCAGAATACCTCGGACGCGGTGCACGGCGCACACCTGCTTCATTTACAAAGGCGATAAAAAATCCTCAAATCAAGCAGGAGGACCGGGTTCGACTCCCGGCGTCCAAATATGCAGTCGCAAATAGCATTGCTTTTTTATTCTTGTCTTGTCATCTGGGTGTTCACAGATCTGCGAGTCTCTACTTACTTCAGGTTTGTAAATTACCAGTTTCCCAGTTTATAAATTACCAGTTACCCACTAGAAATTGATCCCTCAGCTTGCGCACCCGCGTCCCTGCTTCACGTTTGCGAATAATGATTACCAGGTCCCGCAATTCATCCATTCGAGTCCGATGCAGAGTGCAAGTTGATTTATTTGGGGATAGCCAGGTTCACATCGTATAAAATAACTCGGACGCGGTGCGCGGTGCACGCCTGTCATAATTACGAGTCTAAAAATGGAGTTTACGACAATTTTTGGGCAATTGACAGCATGCAATTGAATACAGCTCAACATTTGCAAGTTTATGTAAGGGATTTCCAGCTACTTGATTGGGAGTGGCCGGAGGCCAGACTTGTTCTGCCATGCGCCAGCAATGGCCCTAAAGACCAAGTTAAGGTGTAACACTCATAGTCTAGATGACAGGAAGCCCGGGTTCGACTCCCGGCGTCGGAATTCGTCCAAGTTCGCTATGTTTTTCTGTCGGTTTCGATTCCATTTCCTTATTGTGTGGTGGGATAACACAGTGCACATCCTACAAGATTATTAACTTGGACGTGGTGCGCGCCGCGCGGTGCACGCCTAGGCCTGCTTCATCTTGGGTAGATACGACGTGAATAAATTAGGCAGGAAGCCCGGGTTCGACTCCCGACGTTCCTGACGTCCTTCGTATGATCGTTTTTTTACTTTTGTTGTATCCATTGGAACAAAGAAAGCAACGCCCACGGGTATCAGGACGGTCTCCGTGGGTATACATACATGCACCCCAATTTGCGAAAGAACGATGAGCGTTTAGTTGATGTTAAATGTTCACGTTGGCCACAATATTTATGCTTCAACTTCGTCATTGGCGGGATGATAATCAGGTACACACTATACAGAATAACTTGGATGTGGTGCACGATGCACGCCTGTCGTAATTTAAGCGTATTATTCATAGTCTAGATGACAGGAAGCCCGGGTTCGACTCCCGGCGTCCGAATGTCAAAGCCGCCTCGTAGCTTTTTATTCTTCCTCTCTCCGTACGTCGGGGTATGCATGGCCCTTCCACAAGGCCGTGTGTGTCTTGCGCACTCTGAAATGCAACAGATTTGTTATGTTTGCGAATAATAATGGCCAGGTCCCGCAATTCATCCCTCCGAGCCCAACTCAGAGTGCAGCCTAATTTATTGGTAGGGTAACCAGGTGCACATCGTATAAAATAATTCGGACGCGGTGCGCGGTGCACGCCTGTCGTAATTACGGTGTATTATTCATAGTCTAGATGACAGGAAGCCCGGGTTCGACTCCCGGCGTTCGAATACTACATCTATGGTTGTCGCTGTTTTTATTTTATTTCGGTTATTTATTGAACTCCGAGGCCTGGGTGGATTTTGAAACACAACAACTCGTTCGTTTGATTGGTCTTACGGTTAGTGAGGTTGTGCCTGGTTGTGGCACCTCAAGGTACCCGTGATATTGAAGTCTCCGCTTGGTTGCCGCTTGGTCTCCGCTTATGTGTTGGTGGGATAGTCAGGTGCATATCCTGTAAAACGAATCGGATGTGGTGCACGGTGCACACCTGTTTTAATTAAACCGGCACACTACGATCTTAAGACAGGAAGCCCGGGTTCGACTCCCGGCGGCCCAATGTCCAAAGCCTCTTCGGAGCTTTTTTTATTCTTCCTCTCTCCATACGTCGGAGTATACCCGGTCCTTCCACAGTCTGTGTCTGGCGCAACGGCAGTCTCAGCTCTACAAAAACAAATTCGTTATTTTTGCGAGTAATAATCGCCAGGTCCCGCAATTCATCTCTCCGAGCCCAACTCAGAGTGCAGCCTAATTTATTGGTAGGATAACACAGTGCACACTGAGCAAAATAATTCGGACGTGGTGCACGGTGCACGCCTGTCGTAATCTACGTGTATTTTTCATAGTCTAGATGACAGGAAGCTCGGGTTCGATTCCCGGCGTTGGAATACAACATCTATGGTTGTCGCTGTTTTTTATTTTTTATTTTTGCTGCTTATTGAACTCAGAGGCCTGGGTGAATTTTGAAACGCAACAACTCGTTCATTGTACTGGTCTTATCGCTGAACTCCGTGGTTGTGGCAGTCCCGAGTGCCCGCAGTATTGAAGTCTGGGTTTGTTCATCGCTGAGATAAGCAGGTACACACTATACAGAATAACTCGGACGTGGTGCGCGGTGCACACCTGTTGCAACTGTGCTTTCTTCATTGAATCTTAACACAGGAAGCCCGGGTTCGACTCCCGGCCTCCGACTGACAAACTCCGATTCCACCGGTTTTTTTTTGGCACGCGTGAATATCGACGCCGAATACGTCGATCTTATTGACGGACTTCAGCGCCCATTTTAAACGCGAAGAGCGTTGAACCTTTTTTTCGTTCCGACTTCTACCGCCGACCAACCCCAAGCGGAGATTGAATACAATTCCGTAACGCGGAGGTCACACGACGACCTTTAAATTTTGCTTCCTTCCGTTGCTCCGACTTCTTCGACCCGACTCCAGAGCACTCTCGACGTCTGCAATTCCTCTCGGCCGGGTCTTTCTTCCTATCCTTCGTCTCAGTCCGACGTTCCGATTCTTTGGCATACCCGTAGCCTCAACAGCGCTCAATTGCGATTGTGCGAGCTCTCCTAACTGCTCCGCAGCATGGCTCAAGACAGCTCACATGGCCCGCTTCCCCGCGTCAGCTGGTGCGGGGTAGACATCAAATGCGGGGTAAGTAATCGGTAGCCGACACCGAAATGGAAGCAGGAACGCCGGGCTTTTGACTTCAATGGCAGTTACCGCCGCCGACTCATCGCTTTCCAGGCAACCAACAGCCGTCCGATCCACACATTTAGAACTGGCGCCGAGACTGAATTCCAGACTCAATCCCACAACGCCGGGAACTCAATCACACGACGCCGAAACTGAATTGCATGACACCATCCCTGGAACCGAAGCTAGCCGGCGCGCCGGGGCGTTATAAGGCTGGGGCCGCTGACTGCGCTTGCTTCCCACCCCCACTTACCCCCCACTTACTCACCTGCTTAGCTGTGGTAAGGGGGATTGTTATCGATCTTGTGCCCTCACTTCCTACTATTACCTACTCGTTCTCGTTCTCGTCTCGAGACTTGACTGTATTCCGACTCGATTCCACTGCACGTCCTCGATTAGCCGCGCGACGATACCCCACTAGACACCATGGCTGACACCGAGACTGCCCCCGCGCCCGCGCAGATTGAGATCAACGATGCGCTGTTTTGCCCCCATTTCAAGGAGGTGGTGAGTGTCCATTCGTTTCTTTCCTTTCATTCCGATTCCTCTTCGTCACCGCCGATGCGTTCCGACTCATCGCGTGATGCGTTCCGTTTGCCCCGATCCTCTATCGCACATCATCGTCGTCGTCACACATACTCCCACATACATCCCTCCTATCGTCCTTCCATTCCATTTCTCATCCACACGTTCTTTCCATTCTTCCTCCTTCCCTCCGTTATCGCCTATCATGCCTCTGTTATCGCTCCTCATCTCATGCTCATTGCTTGTCATCTCATGCTGCAATGCTCACGCTAACAATATCACGCTAATAACATCACGCTAATAATAATACTCTACAGTGCGCCGACTGCTCGACCGACACGCGCGAGGAGAACGACGCCTTCTTCGGCTTCGACCCGATCGACCGCGACGGCCTCGAGGCGCCCCCCGCCATCATAAACAAGGACGGCGTCTACCAGTGCAAGAAGCATGCCAACACCGGTGCGTTATTATTCTTCGCGATCTCCTGTCCCCATCTCCTCTGCGTCTCTGCGCCATTTATCCTATATCTCTCCATGCATACATACCCGTCCCTCTTCTCGTTCACTCACCCGTCCCATTCGCCCACGTTTTCCGCGCTCACTTGGCCCTTCGCGCCCCATCTGGTTTTGTTCACCTTATCCTCCCCCGTTATTATATTTTCCTCGTCTCATTCTTGTATTGCATTCCCTATATTGCATTCTCGCTCCGCCGTGAGCATAGCCCTCGCCGCTTCGTTATAATAACCTTGTCCCTTCTCTTCTCACACTCCCTTCGTATATCTCGTTCTTTTTGGCTCCCTCTCTCGTCTATCACCTCCGCTCACCATTATATCCTTCTTTCCTTTTGTCTTCTCGTGTCCTTCTGTGCTCAAACCATCGCTCGATGAACCCTCGCTGACCACCTTCGCAGGCTGCACCCAATGCCACGGCTGGAAGAAGCAGATCACGCGCGCGCGCGCCGCGGCGAAGAAGGCGGGGAAGAAGTAGTGCTTTCTGCCGTTGTATGCGAAAGAAGGGTATGAGAAGGAATGTACCGATGTAAACCATATTAAACGAATGTAGCAAGATGACTGGATACTGGGAGGACTGGACGCAAGGAGTACATCACACATAGGACTGGACGCGCGGCGAAGAGTCCTCCTTTCGAGACGCTGCAGTACTTACTACTGAAGTCGTTCTCGTCTGCACACTGAAGTCTTTCTGGTCTGCATATCAACGATGAACCCCAATTTAACTGCTCGCTGGTGTATACTATCTTTTTGTAGCCTACCAACGAGGGTGGCGCTCAGGTTGAAGGTCACCGATTGTGCTGCTTTCTTTTACGGCACGCAGTTCGTATTCTCCGATTCCTCGATGCGCGAAACTCGAACCTCCCTCCGAGTCTCCTACCCCAGTTCACACTATACTTTCCGACTCGGACGTGGGGTATGGCACACACCCGCTTCAACTGTCAATCCATTTGAGGGATAGGTGAAGGCGGGAGAAGTTAGAACCGGGTTCGATTCCCGGCGTCCGAATATCGGAGTTCCAAGCTTTTTTCCCTTTCCCTGTCTTCTAGCACGTTGTTCTTGTTCTCGTCTGCTCCCTCTGTCGTTTAAATCTTCCTGTGTTAGATTTAGGTCTAGGCCTGAGTCTTTGCTGAATACCAAGTACAAATGCAGGCGTACTTAGTCAACGTGAGTTGTTTGAGTTGTTTGACCGTTCAGTTAATCCTTGACGCACGATGCTCAAACCTGCCTCTCCTGCCGCGGTGCACAGTATAGTTTCTACATCGGACGTGGTGTATGGCACACACCCGCTTCAACTGACAGCTGTATGGACCAGTGAAGGCGGGAGATCCGGGTTCGATTCCCGGCGTTCGAATGGTGGAGTTCCAAGCTTTTTCCCCTTTCCCTGTCTTCTAGCACGTTGTTCTTGTTCTCATCTGCTCCCTCTGTCGTTTAAATCTTCCTGTGTTAGATTTAGGTTTAGGCCTGATTCTTCGCTAGATACCAGGTACAAATGCAGGCGTACCCAACGTGGGTTGTTTGAGTTGTTTGCCGGTCAGTTACTCCTTGACGCACGATGCTCAAACCTCCCTCTCCTGCCGCGGTGCACACTATAGTTTCCAACGTGGACGTGGTGTACGGCACACACCCGCTTCGACTGAACGTAAAAATTCACAAGAATATGTAAGCGGGAGGACCGGGTTCGATTCCCGGCGTCCGAATTCCACTGTGATCCTCTTCTTTTTAAATGATCCATTCTAGCCGTTTTCATCCTGGATCCATCGTACTGCAGACTTTCGGACGATGCAGCCTCTAATACTTACTTATTTTGTTCAACGAAGAGGCATAGACATCTGTAGATTCGGTATACAAATTTAAACGATTCGGGCTTTCGGCTCCCGCCTCACATCCCCTTCCAATTCTCCTGATGCTACAGAAGCAAACATGCACGGACAGCAATTGCATCGGACGTGGTGCGTGGCGCACACCCGCTCTAACTACAAATCAAAATTGCAAGTGAAAGCGGGAGGACCGGGTTCGATTCCTGGCGTTCGAATGGGCCGGAGTGGGGAAAGTAGTTTTTTTTTTGTTCTGAAAATCCAGTATCGTGGCATCTCGGCCGACACCAGGATTAACATTTCAAGCACGGGAGAATTTACGCAAGGGCTGGATCAATGCTAGAATATCTGTTCAGTTTAATGTATAGCTAATATACCCACATTCAAGCCGCGGAACATCTCCCGATACCATGTACACGATTAAATTCATGAGAAATATACAGGCTACGTCGGATGTGGCGCTTGGTGCACAACCCCTTCAACTTGGATCGACCAGTAAATCATGTACAAGTGGGAGAACCGGGTTCGCTTCCCGGCGTACGAATGGTCCGGATATGTTGTTTCTTCTCCCCCCCTTTTTTTCTCTCGAGAGGGTGACTATCATCACTGTACAGACATGGCACATCCGGGCCTCCACCACACGTTCATGCCCATATATATTTCGAGACTCTGGGATTAATGACTGCGTTTGCTATAATTTTTTTTCCTTCTTTTTGATATTCCATTCACACTAATGTACTTCTTGATCTGAGTCCTAATTCAGGATGGTACGTGGTACGTCTCGGTAGTCCAACAGGTACACATTCCACACTTCCAGGATGCTTTTTGGCACATCAGGTTCAAGTCCCGAACCGCTCGGTGCTACATGTCGAAACCTGCACGAAATATAATGATTGCATCGGACGTGGTGTATGGCACATACCCTCATCAACTCGTCGGAGTACAATGTTCAAGCGGGAGGACTGGGTTCGATTCCCGGCGTCCGAATTCCAAATTGGAGGAGAACTTGTTTTTTATCCAGCACTGTGAGCATTTCGGTCTACGCCAGCGGTATCGTTTCAACCACGAAAATTATCATTTCGACCACGCCAGCATTGCAAGCGAGTTATCAATTTTGGTACATTCCTGTAGCTCTCTGTCGATGTCTTCAACCACCTCACATCCAATTACAATCTCTCGATGTCGATGCTACATGGTTAGACCCGTGCCACGGTGCAGAATATAGGAAGTATATCGGACGTAGTGCGTGGCGCACACCCCTGTCAAGTGATAGAAGTGAGGACAAGTGCAAGCGGGAGAACCGGGTTCGATTCCCGGCGTCCGAATTACTATTGCCGCGGTGTTTTTTTTCTTCCTCAAGAAGTCTAGCACTGACAGTACTCCGATGATCTCTTTTGGACCATGCCAGCATTCTCCCAGCCCAGATTTACCAGCGATTTTATCAATTGTGGTGCGCTACATTGTTTCAGACCATTCCATGCCTGAAAATGAACCTGAGTTCCATCTACTAGCTATTCAAACCCGACACTCCCGATGCTATAGAGTTAAACCGGGTCAAAATATAGAGATTCTATCGGACGTGGTGCATGGCGCACACCCGTGTCAAGTGGGAGAAGTGAGGACAAGTGAAAGCGGGAGAACCGGGTTCGATTCCCGGCGTTCGAATGGTGGAGTTCCAAGCTTTTTTCCCTTTCCCTTTCTTCTAGCACGTTGCTCTTGTTCTCGCCGTCTGCTCCCTCTGTCGTTTGAATCTTCCTGTGTTAGATTTAGGTCCGAGTCTGACTCTTTGCTGAATACTAAGTACGAATGCAGGCGTGCAACGTGAGTTGTTTGACCGTTCAGTTACTCCTTGACGCATGAAGCTCAAACCTGCCCCAATGTATCCAAACTTCCAGGCGCTACAGAAGTAAACCTGTACGAGATACAGAGATTACATCGGACGTGGTGCGTGGCACACACCCGCTTTAACTGATCGCTGTGTGGACCACTGTAAGTGGGAGAACCGGGTTCGATTCCCGGCGTCCGAATTCCACTGTGATCCTCTTCTTTTTAAATCATCCATTCTAACCGTTTTCATGCATAAAAATTGGATCAATCGTACTGCAGACTTTCAGTTGGCCAATTACGATACAGCCTCTAATATTTACTTATTTTGTTCAACGAAGAGGCATAGACATCTGTAGATTCGGTGTACAAATTTAAACGATTCGGGCTTTCGGCTTCCGCCTCACATCCCCTTCCAATTCTCCTGATGCTACAGAAGTAAACATGCACGGACAGCAATTGCATCGGACGCGGGGTATGGTGCACACCAGCTTCAACATGGATGATTGTCAATCAAGTAATAGCTGGGGAACCGGGTTCGATTCCCGGTGTTCGAATGCCACTGCCTCGAACGATTCTTTTTCTTCCTCTTAGTATGTTATCCATTATAACCATTTTTATCGATAAAGAATGGGATTGAGCATGATACCTGCCTGCAGTCCAACCCATAGACATCCGTACATTCACTGTGCGACTTGACTGGTCGTCCATCGCACGTTCAAGCGCGAAACCCTCGCTGGGACCCTATATCAGGTTTTTTTCCCCGCCCAAAAAGAAAAAAAATTGTATTATTGGGTCTGACTAGGGAGACTACGCTGGGACAGTATTGAACCTGGGCGTAATATAGTAATTACATCGGATGTGGTGCGTGGCACACACCCGCTTCAACTGAGCGACAGGTGGAAAAACCAGTGAAGGCGTGGGAACCAGGTTCGGCTCCCGGCGTCTGAATGGCTTCAATCGCCCTCAGTTTCTTTTGGTCGCGGTTCGTACTGTTCCTTTTTTCATCTCAAGGACCGGATCAATTCTGACACATCCACATTTGTAGTTCAATGTACAGATGTGGCACATTCACGACTTGTTCACGACGCGACTTGACCGGTCTTCCACGGCACATTTAAGCCCAAATATCTCTCAGTACTCTGGGATTGATCTGTTCAAATTTTAACGAAATGTAATAACTACGTCGGACGTGGTGCTTGGCGCACACCCGCTTCAACTTGAAGCTTCTGATGATGGCTATAAGCGGGAGAACCGGGTTCGATTCCCGGCGTCCGAATTACTATTGCCGCGGTGTTTTTTTTCTTCCTCAAGAAGTCTAGCACTGACAGTACTCCGATGATCTCTTTTGGACCATGCCAGCATTCTCCCAGCCCAGATTTACCAGCGATTTTATCAATTGTGGTGCGCTACATTGTTTCAGACCATTCCATGCCTGAAAATGAACCTGAATTCCATCTACTAGCTATTCAAACCCGACACTCCCGATGCTATAGAGTTAAACCGGGTCAAAATATAGAGATTCTATCGGACGTGGTGCATGGCGCACACCCGTGTCAAGTGGGAGAAGTGAGGACAAGTGAAAGCGGGAGAACCGGGTTCGATTCCCGGCGTTCGAATGGTGGAGTTCCAAGCTTTTTCCCCTTTCCCTTTCTTCTAACACGTTGCTCTTGCTCTCGTCTGCTCCCTCTGTCGTTTAAATCTTCCTGTGTTAGATTTAGGTCTGAGTCTTTGCTGAATACCAAGTACAAATGCAGGCGTACCCAACGTGGGGTGTTTGAGTTGTTTGCCGTTCAGTTACTCCTTGACGCACGAAGCTCGAACCCTCCCTCTCCTGCCGCAGTGCACACTATAGTTTTCAACTCGGACGTGGTGTATGGCACACACCCGCTTCAACTGTTAATTCATTTGAGGGATAAGTGAAAGCGGGAGAAGTTAGAACCGGGTTCGATTCCCGGCGTCCGAAATATGCATTCAAAGGTCGTTTTTTCTGGGCAGGGAGATTTTGCCGCTGCAGTGCCGTTTGCCGCATGCAGCGGCACTTTACGCGGCAGTCAGCGGCAGTCAATTTGCGGCACATACTGAGCTGGTGTTCAACGTAGTCGCGGGCTTCTCAAATTAGTGCACGGTGGTAGGATAGGACCTCATACATTGCTTAGCATCGAGGTCCGGTTGATCTGCTTGTCGGGGACACCGTTAGGACATCATGTTGAACTTATGTAGCGGCAGTCATGCGGTAGTCAGCGGCAGTCAGCGGCAACCAAACAACGACAAACATTGTGCAGCGGCAGTCGGCGGCACTTTGCAGCGACAGTTTTGCGGTTTCATGCGGCAGTCACGCAGCAGTCTGCGGCAGTTTTGCCGCTTGCATGCGGCAGTCTGCGGTACTTTTGCAGCGTGACACAGCGGCAGTGTGACATGTATGCGGCAGTCATTGTTCAAGCCAGCGGCAGTCTTGCGGTACTCATGCAGCACTCGCACTCGGCAATGCAGCACTACTGTGGCATTGTTCCAGCAACGTCTTATCATCATCTCCAATCCCGACATCGTTGATTGTTGCTATTCTGGGCCTTAGTAAAATCCAACCATGGTCGTGTTCAACGCGGCAACACAGCCACTGCGGCGATTGATTGTACTGACGACAAAAATTTCAGCCATGCACCTAAAAATGTCGAGATTAGCGTACCATTTCATTCCTTTGTACCATTCAAGGTTCTAGTATGCAGGAGACGCTCTGATTGCCTTCTTCAATGAAGCTACACACAATTTACTGTAGTATTTCGACCAAGTATTCAGGTGACGCGTGACGCGGCCCTCTGAATTGAATACTTTTGGTCTCGGTGACGGTGACATCTGAGAATGAAGACCAAAATTTTCGAAGTCGTAAAAGGGCTTAAAAAGCGTTTTTGAGCTATTCAAATTTTGCAAAAAATCTCGCGAAAAAATGACACTAATGTTCCTCCCACAGTGCAGCACGGTAGTGCTTATTACCAATCTTCTTGCGGTGACCGCGACCAAGCACAACAGGCTCCACAGGAGCATCATCGTCCGGCTCCGCATCCGATTTCTCTGCATCCCCTGACCGAACAAGACCGCCTGACTCCCCGACAGCAAAAGTGGGTCCAATCGAAGAAGCGCCCGAGATGAACATATTGGAAATGACGTCCAGCGGGATGTCGCTATCGTCGTAGACATCGACATCGAGGAATGGTTCCTCTTCCTCGTCTCCAGCGGCAAACGGGGCGACAGCGGCATTCTGTGAAAGCTCCGCATACAGAGCCGGGTTTTCCATAGGGAGGCGACGTAGTCTTGCCAAAGCGTCGACAGATGTGAGGCTGGCGTGAGAGAGGTTGTACTCTCCCGCGCGGCACATTTCGAAGGACTAAATACAACAGTTAGTCAAAAAACGGCAATATTTGGAAGACAAAATATATACCTTCATGATAAGTGCAGGATCACTTATATCCTTTATGGCCTGTACAATCCAGCCCACTGAGCGATCGCGTAGGACGCCGACGGTGGTGTCGAGCCGAATTTCGGCTGAATCCTTCCCCGCCTCCATCTGGCTAAGCGCCTCTTCGACAATATCACGATGAGCAGAGCGCTTGACACTCAGCTTCAATACTCGCTGTATCCCGACATCGAGCGGCTGCGCGACGCTGGTACAACCGCCCGGCACAAAGAGGAGGATGATGGTGGGGTGGTTCTTCTTCATCCAGTTCCGAAAGGCTTCAGACTTGTGCACCGACCAGCAGTCGATCTTCCAAATGGAGATCTGCGTTGGTGGGAGACCGAGCCGCTTCTTTGTCTCTTCGAAGTACGGGGCGATAATGGTATCTACAAGCAGGTGCATGGTGTCGTGATTCGACCAGTACGTGCCCGTGCCCGAAAAAACGAGCTGGTACCCGAGGGCGATAGCCTCCTCATAGTGTATCGAGCCCAGCGGCAACGATTGATTCGTTTTGCCGGTAAAAACCCCCTGCATGTGTAGTAATACGCCGCTGGCGGAGATGGAGGGTACCAACGTAAAGGCACGCTTCTCCTCCTGTCCGACCGTTGCGACTTGCTTCGCCCCCCGCTCGTTCCACGTCCTGCCCGCCCCTTGCTGGTATACGATCTGCGTCTGGTCGGTGTTGACGCGCAGCGCCGCAGGGACAGCGTAGTCGCGAATAACGTACGCCTCCCGGAGGAAGGCGTTGTCAAGGACCTCCTCGTGGTTTTTTGGAAGCTTCTGAGCCGCCTTCGTGGCACAACGCTCGCTCCAGTTAAGGGTATTGCGGAGGTACCGGCGGACGAAGGCTTCCGAGCAGCGAAACTTGCTGCCGTCCGAGCCCATAGTGCGTGTGAAGAGCTCGGGAGCACCCGTCTGAATCCGAGCGACCATGAGCGCGCGGATGCTGAGCAGCGTCAATGCTACACCAGCGTTGCGGAGAGAGGTGAGGTGGTCGTTGATGAGCTTTCGAAGCTCTGGGTAAGGTTCCTGAGGCGATCGTTAGCATCAATGTCGCAAGTACGAGACTATCAACTCACCAATATGCCCGTTCGAGTCGAGTGGCCACCAGGCGAGTTCCCCTTCCCCTTCTCCACGTTCTTCAGCACCGCCTCACTCCACTTCGAAACCCCGCGAGCCTTCGCCTCTTTATCCATCCACGTCCCGATCACCTGAGACGAAAGCCTCCAAAAGGCGCCGGCATTCAGCTTGCGGGCTTCCCTCAAAATCGCCGTAGGCTTCCAGGGCTTCCCGGCTCGCGCGGCGGCGGTGACGATCTGGGGCCAGAGCAGTGGGTGGAACCAGTTGGTGAGTTTTGAGTCCTTCTTCTGATTCTTCTCCTTCTGCTTTCGCCCGCAGGCCTTCTTGCCGCTTTTGGAATCCTCCTTGAATTGCCGGCGTGGACGGGTGAGTTCTGCCATGGTGATTCCACTACTGGTGCCGGTGTCGTCGACGTCTACAAGCTCAACGCGTTTCTATGACCGTACCGTTAGCGATATCTCGAAAGACAGAGCGAGACGGTACTCACTCGCTTCTGTCCTGGGACCCAGCCGTTCGCCAGCTTCTCCTGGTGCTCCCGCTCGCGGAACAGTCGCATACGCTCCGTCGCGTCGGCCCGCTTCCGCGCTGCCTTCATTCGGCTCGCCTGTACCTCCCGCAGACGATTCTCCTCCGCCAGCTCGCTATACTCGCGTACCTCACGCTCCCTCCGAGTTGCCTTCTCTTCTGCCGTCTCCACGCGCCAGTACATCGTAATCTTCGGTTTTGCAGTGCTGGAGATTTTTGGGACATCTTCCTGGGCCGTTGGGACGGGTCGGCCAGTCTCCTCGTCACTGCTCTCGTCTTCGTCATCATCCTCGTCGCCGCTGACATCCACATCCACGAGTGCGGGCAGATCATCCATATCCGCCACATCCATTGCTGCCTCACTGGAAGCGGAGGTATCGGGCTCTGAGTCTTCTAGCGCATCGATTTGCGTCTCAGGCGGTATGGGGGCATCGTCCGTAGCTCCCCACATTGTATCGGCATCCACATCGTCGTTTTCTTCGTCGAAGTCGGCGCTGTAGCCGTCGCACGATGTATGGCGCTGAGTGGGCCCAAAAACATCGCCAGAGCGTCGGCGGCGAGAGGGTGCAGCCACGGGAGTAAAAGAAAGACGAGGAGGGGGTGTAGCATCGTTGGCCGGCCCTCGTTTATAGATACGGTGCTTCTGCGGGCTCGGTGAGGGCGTAGGAGCGTCCGGATGTCCTTTACGGCGTTTTATGCCTGCGGTGGTCGGAGCATCGGAAGTAGGCGGGGAGCCATCGGGGAGGGGGGATTTGAATGTAAACTTCGCATCCTTAGCAGTGCTTCGAAGCAGTAGGTGGCCGTTTGTGTCGTCGTCGCTGCTGTCGGTGTCGAGATGGGTCTGAGTGGCTGTGTGTGTGGCCGTGTTAGGATCCGAGAAGTCATCCGAGTCTTCGTCTTCCGCAATGGCAAGTGCCCGAGCAATCTCGAGCTGCAACGCAAACGATAAGCATTAAATCCAGGTTCGGTCAGCGCACTCACCCTCTCAAGGCACCACCGTCCGATTTTATTGAAGGCTTGGAGCCGTGCAATCGCAAAATTGACGCCACGCGGGCTCAAGGGTATTTTTGGGTCCACAAAATGCTGCTGGCCATTGTCCGCCAACATCCCGCACGAGAATCCATCGGTCTGTGGACCCATCGGGAGCTTGTCGAGTACCAAGGATGTGTCCGTGTGCTGGCTGATCCACCAACGGCAAGCTGTAAGCAACGCTGGTGGAATGGGTTGCCCAAACGAGTCGCCGTACAGGACTTGATGCTCCGGCTGCGACATGTCGAAGACGAGAGAAACCCAATGAGGTTGGTCATCGATCTCACCCAAATGGGTTGTGGTGATCAGCGCGGCTTGATTCCGGATGATGTCGCTGGCAAGATCGCGAATCCAGCGGAAGCTCTGTGCTTTCTTGTACGCCTCTGCACCGGCCTCGTACGCTTCGAGGATTTTCGGACCGAGGGAAGTTCCCTGGATGCGGAATTTTCGCGCCAATATCGGATCGCTGGCAACGTACTGACGCAAGAGCTCCAGCATATCATTTTGATTCGAGCCCGACAACCAATTCGGACCGAGAAACCGCCAGAGGTTGTGGAAAGGCTCCGTGTCCGACAAGCCCTGTGGCTTCGAAAACGCCCACGGCATCATACTGAGGATCAGTTCTGCCTCTTCCACAAGTGCCGCCCGCTCCGGATCTTTTCTGGACAGCTTCTTCTGCTTTGCGAGCCAGTCGGAGGAAGTAACCCAGTGCGTGCGCACATCCCGCTTGAAATCAAGGATCTCGTTCCAGTATGTCAGTACCCACAATGGGAAGTGCGTTATGACACCCCCAGCGAGATGACTATACATGACGGATTGATAACCGTCAAGCCATTTCTGGCGACTGGTCTCGACAAGCTTCCGAATGGTCTTCTCTGCCGGAATGGGAAGACGGTGCAAGCGAGAGATTGTTGTCGAGTCGAAGGGATCAGGTGCAGTTTTACTGAAATACTGGGAAAGCTCGGGGGCGGGACCGTTTGAAACGAACTCGAGAGGTACAACATAGTTGACAATTTTTGCGATAGAAAGCATCGGCGAGGGCAGAAGTTCGTACTGGAGGGACTGGGGAAGGGAAAATATTTCGCGAGCAATTTTGTGGACTCGGGGTGGCGCGGAAGCCATCCTTTTGTCGTGGCCAATCCAGTCAGATATGCTGAAAGGCATCTCTTCACTCATTGCGAGGTCGGTGAGAGGAATATGTAGTGGTATGTCTTTTTCAAAAAAAATGTCATATGTATCTCGTACTGCACGGCGCATACTCTGAAAAGGTTGATAGCCGCTGCGGTTTATTACCTCGCGTACTCAGACAAGTGAACACTGAGCAGACAAGCGACTGTAAATACCACAAAGAAATCACCGCAATGTTCCGGGCAGGTGAACCGAAATTTCTGTAGTCCCCATCATCTTCTCGGGCTCCTTCTGGCTCTGCTCAAGCCTGCTTGGCAAAATGAATACTTCGGCAAAAATGAATACTTTTTTGGTGGTGACAATTAAGCCGCCAGAATGAAGACCTATAAAAATGAATACTTGCAGTGACTCGTGACATGCCCTGAATACTTGGTCGAAATACTACAGTAGTCTTGATGCTCTTCCGAGTAATTGCATAACATTGAGTCGGCTATCGGCCGCATCGGCAGAAAAAATGTCCCCGAGTTTGCTGAAGACCATGAAGAATGTCCCCCAGGACAGGAACATATTGATGGAAAGATACACGGAATCTTTCGACCTAAATCGACAACTACGGTTCATAAATACAAAATTATTATACTTGTACTTACTTTGTCGTTTCAAAACCGATTCAAGTTGTATTGGATAATTAAAGGGTATTGAACCTGAGGGAAGATCATCCACAGTATTGAAATAATTTGCAACTCGCATGGTGTCGACCGTTACGAGTGGCGGTGGCAGTTCAGAATATGTCGCTGCGGCAATAAATGCGTGACAGAGCGGCAGTGTGACAGAAATTTCAAGCATGCGGCAGTCATGCGGCAGTGAAGCGGCAGTGAAGCGGCAGTTGGATTTTTTGCCGCGGCAGTAAACGGTACTTACAATGTCAAAGCGGCACTTTCACCCTGCCCGTTTTTTCTTCCTCAAAAAGAAAAGAAAAAGAAAAAAAAAAAAAAGTTCCAGCACGGCGACCAACACTTGCATGAACAGTGGCTGTCTCGCCTCCAAGCCCGGCCTCTTGGTACACATGATTGAATGACTGCAAAATATAGCCATGACGTCGGACGTGGTGCATGGCGCACACCCGCTTCGACTGAACGTAAAAATTCACAAGAATATGTAAGCGGGAGGACCGGGTTCGATTCCCGGCGTCTGACTGGCTTGGCTTGTAGTCGCTTTTTTCTTTTTTTTCAAAGAACGCCCTTCAACAAGAAGAACTAGCACCGTAACCATCTGTTCAGGGAGGCCGGCTTCCTGGCGTCCGAATGACTGGCTAGGCCGTGAGTTTATTATTATTCTTCTTCTTCTTCTTTGAAACCAGTGTTGTGACCCTCATTCGTGTTCAAGCATTCTCTGAATTGATGCAAACCTGCCTCTTCTACTCCAGCGCACGGTGTAAATTTCAACTCGGACATGGTGCTTGGTGCACACCCGCTCTAACTACAAATCAAAATTGCAAGTGAAAGCGGGAGAACCGGGTTCAATTCCTGGCGTCCGAATGATTGGGTTCTCTGTAACTTTTTGTTCGTCTTAATTATCCATTAAACCAATGTATTCTGAAAGAGATCGGATGCGAGCATGGTAGGTCTCGTTCATTCAATAGAGATGAGCAGACGTGCCGTACACCAGAAAAAAGCCTGACTCCCTTCCACCTCCCATTCAACCCAAATGTCCTGATGCTACAGAATTAAACCTCTAGGGAATACAGGAACTGCAACGGACGTGGTGCGTGGTGCATACCCGCTTTATCTGCGAAATTATTGATGTCCAAGCAGGAAGTCCAGGTTCGATTCCCGGCGTCCGAGTTCCGTGTGTGTTCGATATTTTTCTCCTGTACTGTATGTGACTAGGTAGTGGGCCACACTAGGTAGTGGGCCATTTGGTCAATAAGTCTTCATAGGATGAGATTATCGGCATTATGGGTCTTGGGGGAGGCAATGGAACCTCAGACGGTGGTCCACACCAAATTTGGACGGAAATGGATAAGTCGATCAAAAGCTGTGCGCTGTTTGACAGCGGGCCGAAGGGTGAGAACATCATTTTCTTAGCTCCGCACCGGGAAGCCGCACTTGTTTTGCTCGTTTCTTCCTCAATCTGTCGCCGATTCTCCAGTTTAAGTGCTTTATGTACTCACAAGAACCGTCGCATTCGACCTGAAGTCCATTTGCTCATGTACCTTCACCATTCCGTCTGCTAGAACCTTGTCTTTGGGCTTGGTCTGATCCCCAGCCGCCCAATTTAACCACCCGTATATCAAGACAGCCGGGAATCGCAGAATGCCGGCACTCAATCTGGGCCATTACAGCCATGTTTTCATGAATCCTAGATGCTTTTCAGTCCTCTTGCTATTTTCCTTCGCTCCCACCACTGTCCGATACCGGAAAACAGGCATTTTGCATGGTCCAGAGAAAGACATTTTTTTTGGAGGAACCAGCTATATTAAGTTGTGGGGATGGGCACTCAGGTACGTTCATATCCTCCCTGTGAAGCTTCCTGCACCTTATTCTGGACTTCCATCTCGTTTGTTCCTTGCACAGTAATTGTACCAGCCAAAAAGTCGATTTTGTGGCTGGTACCGGGTTATAAATATGATTGTGTACTACCCTGCGATGGCTCAGATGTATCGGGAACATGTGCCGGTTTGTCCAGCGGACCATCTTATATGATGTAAAGTGCACCGCGGTCCCATTCCAAACGAGAGCGTCGAGTTAGGACTGGTGGCCCAGTACCCCGTCAATTGCCTTTTCGGGCCGCCCTGTCAAAAGAAATTCGTGGAGATGTCAAAAGGTGGTGTAAATTCACCAGGATTATTTAGGACATTCTTAGGAGGTGCACCGTCGATATTGTGGACTTTAGGACGGGTTGAATAGCACCTGTTCCTTCGACAGTAGTGAAAATGCTAAGGTGGCCCAGTACCCGGTCACATACAGTACACTAACGATGCGACCGATTTGGGCTCCTCAGGACATCATTTCTGTCCTTGACAGCATCAGCATCTCACTTCATTCCAAAATTTTGAGGCGAATTGAATATATATGGTGCTGGCCATAATTCTCTCTTCCTCAGTTCCACGGATCCACGTCTTGCTGCTTTTGCACGCCGATTTGTCGATGTATATTGTTGAGGCTATCCTCCCCTCGACTGCTTAGGTAGGATTCAGACGCTCTTTTGTACGCGATAACTCGAAGCACGGAGCTCAAACCTGCCTCTCGTAAATAGGTGCACACTATAATCTTCAACTCGGACGTGGTGTGTGGCGCACACCCGCTTCAAGTATGTGTGGAAAAAGGAAGGAATATCACTGCATTCCACCCCTTCCTAGACAGAGCCTGAGTCTAGTTGATCACATACAGCTACACAGCTGGTTTCTGTCTAGGTCATGGCAGGTCTGTCGAGCTTGGTTCAGGTTTCTCTAGGTCTGTGTAGGCTATTACAACACAAAAGATCTCCAGCTGAACCTAGCTTTTCCTCCCTGTGTGTCTTCATCTATACTCAGCTAGGCAGATCACCTATGCATGGCCTAATCGTTGCTACACTGACCTGAACAGAGCTGTGTCTAGATGACTAGACAGGGCCTGTTCAGGGGTCTACACACACCTGATATCAACTCTCATGACCTAGACAGACTATGTCTAGGCGGGGTCGGAACGCAGTGTATATGAAAGCCGGAGAACCGGGTTCGATTCCCGGTGTCCGAATGCCACCACTGGCTCGTACAGTTTTTCTTTTCTTTTCTTTAAGAAATCAGTGCCATGAATGCTTTGGCCCATGGAAGCATCAGCGTTTTAACAGACGAGTATCACCAGTATCTACACTGCTGTATAAATTATGAGTCGCTACATTTTTCAACCGTAACGGAGGCGTCGCGTGCATTCACGGTGTGATTTGGGTTGGCCTAACCCCTCCCATTGAAGCCCAGATGTTTTGGTGCTGCACAATCCGCTGTGCGGTATATAAATAGTAAATCGGACGTGGTGCGTGGCGCACGACCGCATCAATTTCACGAGTACTGTATTTTTACGTTCAAATCGACAGTCATGCGCCACCGGGGTGGCTGTCGATTATGAACTTTGGCAAGTGTCTCGGGTCACTGACACACTCTGTCCAATTTTCCCGGCGTGACACTGGCGAGGTTGCGCCTGGAATCATGTTTTTTGGTGAAAAAAAACTGTCCCGCTGTCGAAATTTTCCGTTTTGTCACGGTCACCCCGGACCCTTGTCGAATGTCGAATGTGGTTCAAACCGTCACGGGCCACACCCCCTGTCAATTTGAATGTAAAAATACAGAGCAAGAAGTCCGCGGATTCGGGGTTCAAATGGCCACCTCGGAAGGGTTCATCACATTAGCGCCCCTTTTATTCAGCAACCGTGAGATTACTGTACACGCCAGAATGGACATGAGAAACGATGTCGGATGCGGTGTATGGCACAGATCTTCTCCAACTTCCAGGGGTGGAACATTTGAAAGAGGGAGAGCCAGGTTCGACTCCGGCGTCCAAGACTCCAAATATGATATCATTGTAGGTTTTGTTTTCTGCCATAATCACTGCGTTCCGGGCCCCCGTAGCCGAACTGTGTCTACATTCGTCTACGAGGTTGTACTTGGCGTCGAGGTTCTTCTACCCCATAGTCCACGGGAAAAACGCGTCGATGTTCGTAAGTTCGGCTACGAGGTTCTACGCCGGGTAGACAAACATGTTCTATATTTGTCTACATTTTCCCACGTGTGTCGACATCCCGTAGACGAACCTCGGCCAACCTCGGCATCTTTCCGTCACCAGCAACTTTTTTTTCCAAACAGGGTAAGTTACATCCATACCTTCATCTCTCCATGTGTCTACAATGAGGCTACCTTGGTCTACATTCGGTCTACATGCTTCTACACGGGGTAGACAAAAGTAGACATATCTAGGCAAAGGTAGACAAAGGTAGAACAATGTGTCTACCGATGTAGACATAAGGCTGCAGCTACAAATTTGTCTACGAATGTAGACGAACCCTTAGGCTACGAAGGGTCGGAACGCAGTGAATTGATTATGACCGTGATCGGTACCGACTCCGAGTACCGAGAACCACATGCGAGACTTAGCATGGACCATAAGGATGTAATGAATTGAAATGTACTGTACTAATCCGACCGTAGGTTCACTGGTTGTCACGCGTCACCGACATAGTTCACTGGATAAAAAGTTCACGCTGACAAATACCATCAAGAATTCCCTCAAAAGGCAGTCCGGCGAATGCCGGGGCAATTTTCAGGGGCTTTTTCGGCCTATTTGGGCGATAAAAGTTCAATGTCACCGTCACCGACCTTCAGAATTTCAATTCACAGGGGTCTATCCCCAGTGAGAACGACGTCTTGTTATACCTTGCTATATCTTGTTATATCTTACAGCCAACGAAAATATGATATCTCAAGATATGGCAAGACATGACATTGGAATTCTTGCCGCTATACCTTGCTATATCTTGCGTCGTCGAAATTTTGCAAAATTTTCATTTTTATATTCATTTTTATTGTTACTACGCTACAGCCTGTATATACCGGGCCGGCGCCATTCCGCCGCCACAGACCTTCCCTGGGCCTTCCACGTGTTCGCGTCTCTACACAGAGGCAACACAGGCTCTGGAGATCCAACATTGCCTATGCGCTTGTTAATATGGTGCTCGCAGGGGAGGAAACACACAACGTAATCGGTCAGGTACACTTCTAGCCAGATGCGGCGCCTGTTTGATGAGTCAGTGATACACTCTGAAAGGAATATGAAGGGGGACATACTACCAGAGTACGGAACGTATTGGCCACAGGCCTCCCAGTGAAGTCCCGGCCGTGAGCCTCTACAAATCGCGTAAGCCAGGAACATCAATGGTGTGCTCCCGAACGTACCCCCAGTTCCACAACATCGAGCATCTAGAATAAGTTGAACAAGAATAGATAGGTTTTATGCAGGCGGTGCATAAATCTTACAAGGTAATGCTCTTGAAGGTACACCAGCGTTTCATCTCCCATCTGGGATCCAGGTCGGAGCTGGCTATGTCTGATGCAGGTGTGTTTCAACGTCAGATCTTGGTGATCCGGCCCACCTCATTCTGAGGTCGGGTCCTACCGACGTTGAATCGACGTCGAAAGGTAACCCAATGAAGCAATATTTAGAAG